ATATATATAGTAGTGATTATATATATATAATAAAAAATTTTAAAAAATGGTAGTGACATTTCCATTAAACTTTTTTGTAAAGAGAGTCAAGAAAAAAAAGAAATAAGGAGCTAGTGCTCCTATAATGTGAGGTAAAAGGTGGAGAAAAGACATATTCATGATAGTGCCCATCGCATCCCCCCATTCATGCATAACTTTCTTTTTCTTTTTTATTTTAGAGTACATAAGATGTACGCAGCGCTGCGTACATCAGGGGTTATTCATGGGGTACAGGTAACCTCTGTGTAATTCTCTTGTAACCTTCGCGTAACTTATTTGTACTCATAAAACTGCATAAGTGCGGAACTCATTTGTATGTTACATGGAGGTTACATAGGAGTATAACCCCGATATAACCCCCCTGTACCCCCTTAATAACCCCTGGACGTACGCAACGCTGCGTACGTCTCATGTACACAAATATTTTCTCAACCATTCTAGCACAACATAAGATATTTTGATACATGACAAATGACCAACAATCATAACATCATTAGTTTGCATGCATTTATATGAGTTACATTTTTTTTTGTGGTTGACAATCATAGCGGAATTAGCATATCTCCTTCATATAATAATAAGAATGATAATAATATATCTTTTTGTAATTGATATGGTTGGAAAGACTACTTATGATAATAGACCCCACTATAAGGGATGAAAAGATTTGAACACATACAATGAATTTCATTGCTTGGCTTAAGGAATCTTCACATAGAAAAAAAAGGAAGTTTGAAATTGGGTGCATGGTGTCATTTTAGTTGAAAGTATTCATAAAAGTGTCAATTTAGTCCTTTTTTTTAATTATATAAGCAAAATATGGCTTTTTTTGTGTATAAAGAGGTGCAACCAACATTAGTTTTTACGGAGGTCTAAATCATAAAATGTTAATTTTTCTCAAATATTTGGGCATATATTTTCATTTCTTATTAAAAATATATGGGAATCAATTTGCTATTTTTATAATCTAAAAGACTGAAATCCATGTTAATAATTAGAAAAACATTTTGACTTTTTAGTCTCACATCATTAATATTATTACAATATAATTGTCAAGTGCGGTTTAGTTACCTAACAATTGTCTATTTATGATTAAAAAACAATTACATAAGTAGTTTTTAATCTAAACATATTATTAACTTGCTAATTAACTATTCTAAATAAGCTTAAAAATCCAATTAGGTACGGACGTAGATAAGATAACAACTTGGCGAACAAAAGCTGAGTGTAAAACCATAATGGAGATCCTACGTAAACTCCAACTTATTATTATCTATAATAAATTTATACTTAATTATACTTTACAAATAATACAAAGCCATGCATTATCGGCTTTAAAAATCAAAGAAGCCAACTCCATTCTGATCGCATAATTCGGAGAAGAAAGGAGAAGATAGGGAAGAAAGCTCATTCATGGCTTCTGCTGCTTATTATGGAAACAGTACTGCAGATTAATTTACTGAGACAGGAAAAGGTAATATCTAGCCATTTATAACTCATCACCTGACTTTTACTTAGCCCAATTTGATGAGCTAAATCTATAATGATTGTTTGAGTTGAAACTATCATCACTAATTCAAAGATCATACACGGATTCGAACTCAAACTAGTTAGTCGGTCATGGACGAACTTAAGCTTAAATCACTTTAGTTTGTGCTTAGATGCGTAGCATATTGGTTGAAAATGAAATTCAACATCTCAAAATGTCAGATTCAAGTACTCATATTGTTCGAAAAAATAAAAAAAATCATGTTTGACTAGATTTGTTCGGGCCGTTATAGGTAAAGAAAGAGATGATACATGGAAGAGAGTGAGAGAGAGAGAGGAGCCAAATGGATGTGGGAGATTCATATATAGATTGTGATTCAAAAATTTTGATCTTATATTCGTACTAAATGTATGTTATTCAATTCGAGCTAATACTCACACGACACGAATATATTGTACGGTATGACCGTATATGTATCGAATGCTGATGAAATGAGCCATGCATTTTATGAACTAAGCTCAGTTTAAATGCCCAAAAGTGTTTGGTGTTTGTGCATAATTTGTATTCGATATATATATAATTAAAGTTTGGGTTAGACATGTAAATACATAGGAATTGAGTGGTTTGAATGTAAATCTTATACATAATATACAGTGAATTTCCATATAACTTGGCCATATTGGAAGATTTATATGATACATGAAGGCTTCAACATAAATTTCTAAAAATGTGATTTCTTCATTAGCATTTTGTTACAAGTTTATATCCTTAATTTTTTTTTTCTCATAAAATAGAATCTAAATATGCTGTTAATTTTTTTTTAATATAATTGTTTTTGCTATATTTTCAAATTCCACCTCCAACTTCTTGAAATTTGATAATTTTGTTCCAATAAGAACATGAATTTCTTGGTGCTTTATTGGCCATTGTAAAATACGCAAACATACTATCTAACTTTTAGATGCATAGGGGTGTAAACGAGTAGGGTCGAGCTCGAGCTTAAGTCTACGAGTTCAAGCAAGCTCAATTAGTGTTATAATAAAGTGACATATAAAATGAACAGTTGTAAAATAAATAAGAAGAAATCACTTAATATAAAATACAAAATATTATTTATTTACTATTTTTTTTAGTACTTTTAAAGATGAAATCTTTAAATTTAATGTATTTTGAATATATTTTCTACTAATAATTTTTTAAACGAGCCACCTCACGAGCTAAAGAGTCAAGTTGAGGCTAGCTTGAGCTTGGCTTGTTAGCTTATCGAGCTTAGTTCACGAGTCAGCTTGACTCACCTATATTCCTTCATGCATTATGTCTTCAAGTTAAACAATAATTTTTATCTGAGATTTAAATTTTATTATTAATCAATTAATTCTCTTTATAATTATAATTATTTCTTTATTATAAGATATTTTTAGTGAATAAGTTCAATTGAATTAATTAATCTTAATCAAAATAATTATTTAATTCACTCTAAAAACAATTAAATAAAATTAAGAAAAATAAAAATTAATTCAATAATTGAATTAAATTGTGTCGACTAATAAAATTTGTATTTGACTTAATTTAATAAATGATTTAATAAGTCGCAATTTTTATTTATTTACATATTTAACACATAATTTATACAATTTATATTTGTAACACCCAAATATTTCATATCATATAAAAATTATTACTATTCAAATTAAAAAATAAATTATAAATTACACTTTCTCTTGCAAAGATTACATGGCTTACATTTAAAAATTTATGTTTAGATGTCAGATATGTAAATATTTAAGATTTAAGTGGCATTTATGTAAATCTTCCATAAAAAGGTGGAAATATAATAAAAAAGGAAAAGCAGCCCCTGCCTCTTCCCACGTCGGATCGGACGTAAATTCTATTTTTCGGTGACCGAAAGTTTTAATATATATAAATAAAATATTTATTTTTAAAATTTGTCCTTAAAAAATGTGCTCCACCCCACGTAAGCTGTCGGGGGAATTAACACCTATCTAATACAAATTTCTTCCCCTTGTTAAACCTACGGCTGTAAGTGAGCTGAGCAAGAGCTAGCCCAGTCTCAACTTGTGTTCATAATCGGCTCGTTTATATCTCGAACACAATATTTCGTGTTCGGCTCGTTTGCTTAGTGAGCTGAACATAGGGCTGTCAATTTGGCTCGTTGTTCTTGAACAACTCGTGTTCGGCTCGTTAAGCAGCTCGTGTTCGGCTCGTTCGTTAAGCCTAACG